AAAGAAAGAAAGAAAGAAAGAAAGAAAGAAAGAAAGAAAGAAAGAAAGAAAGAAAGAGAAAAAAGAAGAAAGACATGACTTCAACACATCTCTTTGTACTTAAATTATAATGAATGGAGCTGGCCAGATAGCTCAGCGGATTAAAGCACCTGCTTAAGCAGACACAGGGACCGGGGTTTGATCCCCTTTGTGCTGTGCCAGCCACGCCGCTGAGGCACACTGACACAGCAATTGAGATTGGGTGTGGTGGTGCATGCCTGTAATCCCAGCACTTGGGAGGCTGAAAACAGGAAGATCACTATGGGTCCAATCTACATAGTGAGACCCTGTAGCATCTGTACTAAATATATAAAAATAAATAAATTATAATGGATGATTGAAAAATGTTTTTCAGACTAAGATCATTTTATACAGAGATAATAACATTGGAAACAGAGATAATAGAATATGAACATATTCTACATACATTTGATTGGTCACAGGGACAAGGCTGTACAAGATTACCAATTTTTTTAATTTTAAAGAGAAAAGAAATAATAAAGAATTTCAAAGCAAGATAATACAATGGTTATATATTGCACATTATCATACTCAAAGTTTGTGCTCATCATGTTTGATTGACTATGCATGACTACATCTTGAAATCTGAGCATATACTTTGAAGATAGGTCCTTTTACATGATGAGTTACATATATTGGCATTTCAGCTGCTTATTAAAGATGACTTTAATACAGTTTAATCACCACATACAATAATGATAAAAACAAGAGGGAAATCTTTAAAATACAGAAATGAAACACAAAATAAGCCAGAGAGATAACCCAGTGGGATAAGAACCTTCCTGGCAAGCAAGTGGTCCTAAATTCAATCCCCAGTACAAAACACACACACACACACACACACACACACACACAATAGATAGAGAGAGAGAGAGAGAGAGAGAGAGAGAGAGAGAGAGAGAGATTTATATATAAAATGGAAAAGGAATAAAGTGCTTTCCTCTATGGCAAAACTGAGACAAAAATAAGGTGTGTCTGGTTGAAAGAAAAAAGAAAAAATGATCATTATTTACATCTAGCTTTTTTTAACGATCATTTGAAATATTAGCCTTCCATATAGGAAAGGTCACATATGGCATATGGTCCTCCTTGAATTGTGATTTTACTTTCCTTCCAGCTTGTTGTTAAGAATCCTCAAAATCAATGTACATAATGTAACTCCACATATCACTACAGTATAAGCAACAGATTTCTAAGAACTTACCTAGCTAAAGAAGGCTTAAGGGGCCTGCCCCTTGGCTCAGTTGTTTAAGTGGCTGCCTCAACAAAGCAATCAGCCTCAGGTTGCTGTGGTTCAATCCCCACAACTCCAGCCAGCTTGGCTCAGTT